CCCACATGTGCCGGGAGGGCTGCCTCCTTCTTTGGGGATTGCCTGCGCTGAAGACGTCATCTTGTCCAAGATCTTCAAGCCTTCTCCTGGGGGCAGCCTGCATCTGGGAGCTGATGGAGGCAGGCTGTGTAAAGAAAGGCCCACCCCTCTCTCCAGCTCAGGACCACCGGCAGAGAAGGGGGCTTCTGAGAACGTTTGCCTCTCCCAGGAAGGAACGTTCTCTTTCCTGCCTTTTTGCATTGGTGTATAGAGTGTAACTAACACTCAGAGCCGTGGCAGCCACTTTGAGGCCATGAGGGGGGACATGCCTGAGAACAAAGGTCAAGACGCTGGATCCTAGAAGACGTGAAGATGCCAGTGAGTGCTGAATTAACTAATCCTAGAGCCACCCTAGGAGCTCTGGTGGCGCAGTGGTTAAGGCATTCGACTGCTAACCAAAAGGTCGGTGGTTCGAACCCACCAAGCTCCTGCAGGGAAGGAAGATGGGGAGATCTCCTTCTGGAAAGATTTCAGCTTCAGAAACCCAACGGGGGTCACTATGAGTTGGAATCAACTCGATGGCGGTGAGTTTGGTTTTTTTGGTTTAGAGCATCTGGAAGCCACATCTTGGGGGTGGCAGAGTGGCTCCCGCAGCCTCAAAGCACTCACCTGGGGGCTGTAGGATGAGAGAGTGAACCTTTCTTAAGCTACTCCGTTTGGGGGTCTCTTTGTTTCAGTAGCTGCCCATGTACTCCCAGTAATATATCGGGGGGATAATGAATCCCCTCGTGGTTTCAGGTAACAGCAACAACAACAGACAGTAATTGCTGAGGTTGCTTATGTTCAACCAAACACCCCATGGGATTTGCTTTCTTGGTTTGGAGGTTCAGGGTCATGAACCTGAGTTAGGGCTCTTGTTCCCACTTGTCTGGTTTCTGTCTTTGGGAGCTGGTAGGGTCCAGGGCTGGATTCTGACTTTTGGGTTCAGTTACGAGGGACAATGTTTCTGCGGACTGCCTTGTGCTGTGAGAATACCATCATCCATCACCCACTGACGTCACAGCTCACCGGCCTCTTGGTTCCCTCCTGCTGTTACACCCTGCCCCTCCCCCTTGGTAGACCAGGTCCCACCTGAGCCCATGCCTAGTGTCAGATCCCAGAGCCTCTCCAGCCTGACCCCCTCCACACACACACACAACAGAACTCCCAGCATGCCCCACACGGAGCTGGCTCAGTCAAGAAAAGCGGAGATGGGGGACAAGCGAACCATGAAAGCCGACTTCCAGGAACAGGGTCCTGAGGTGCTCACGAACGCTCTGTCTCCGTCAGGCACTCGGACGAGCACTTTCCAATTTAATATTTAAACAAGAAGTTTAATATTCACACAGCAGTGAGGGGAATGGTTTCCCCGGCCTCAGAGCTGCTGGGAACCTCTCATTACCAGACTCCCTGGGGGTTGGCCAGCCAGGAATGTGCATTAAATAATTGGCTGCATGCCTGCCTTGGACCCCTGCTGGGTCACTCGGGGGGTACCCCAGTAAAGGGATAACAGATGAAGGAATGGATCTTTATCATTTTCCCTAACTCCAGGGATGAAACATCTCTAAACTCACCAGCCAAACCCAAGCCAAACAAACTCCAGGCTGGAGCATCTGATTACATGTCCCCAGGGCAGGTTTCCACCGCAGCCTGCCCCTCCCTTCCTCTTTCCCAGAAATGTTCCGGCTGCCACTCCTACGAGGGGGGTGGCCTGAGGCTGCCAGGGCATCGGGCCACTTTGCCACGCTGGGGATGGGGCAGGAATCTGGAACCCAGCCCCACAGCTTGCAGACTCCAGGTCTCCCTCTGGGCACAACCCCACCCGCTCCTTCTCCTTCCTCTTTCTCTTCCTGGGGAAGAACACACACAGAACGGGCCACTCCCACCACTTTCTGGGATGTGGGGCACTCCATGTGGAGTTCAGGCCAAGGTGGCTCTGGGTGCCTGTAAAACGTGGGTGACGCCGTCCACAACACCAGCTCTGCAACGGCCGACACACGGGAGACCCTCAGCACAGTATTGATCCCCACCCCAACCCCAACCCCAACCCCAACCCCAACCCCAACCCGGTCCTGGGGCTGGGAGAGGCAGACGAGAGTCCCCCACCCTCATACCTGACCAAAAAATGTGGGCTGAGGGCTTCCTCTTTTCCAGAGGCCCGGGGTTTCACCGTCACTCAACAAACACTGATTGGGAGCCTGCTAAGTGCAGGTGTGGAGTGGGGCTAGCCAGGGCTGGGGACGAGGGAGAGCGGAAGCCATGAATGCTACCCTGTAACTCCTGGCTGTACCGTTAGCTGATCACCTGTGACGGTGGGAGTTCCTGCCCTGAGAACCTCTGTTTGCAGGCCTATGAGATGGGGATACAGAGCCACCCTGGTTGTGAGGACCCAGTGAGGTGCCATATATGAGCATATGCCCAGAGAGAGGTCTGGACACAGAGTGGGTCCTTCAGAGGTGGGGAAAGAGATGGGTCCTATCGGAGCCCCCAAAGCCAAGAGAGTGACTGGACTATCCCTAGGCAGTAGGATGTCCTCTTCCTGTCCCCAGGTGTGATGGACATCCCTGGGCTGGGCACTGAGCCAGACAGGCAGCACCGGGGACCAGGAAGTCATCTCTGCAGGCACTCTGCAGACAGGCCATCCTGGGAGGAGTTATTCAGGGGAGAGTCCAGGGTCCACCTGGGGGAGGAAGAGCTGAGGACCCCAAGAGGGATTTGACACGGCTCTGTCCTTCAAGCCCTTTGGGGAGACAGGACAAGAGTCTGGTGGAAGCCTGGGAGCTGTGGGGTTGGAGGAGGGGGCAATCGGGGAGGGCTGCGTGAAGGGGACATCAGATTTATCAGGAGAAGAGTTTGTTGTGAAGACAGTTGCCAAGGGCATTGTAGGCAACATAGCAAAGCATGGGGGGTTCGATATGTGGCCAAGAGGTGAGGGTGAGAGTTAAGGAAATGTACTTTAGTGTGGATGGAAGGTTATGCTTAGTGCTGGAGGAGGAGGAGGTGGGCTGGATCACGGAGAGTCTTGAAGGCTGGGCCCAGGAGTCAGACGACTGGGAGTTATGGAAGAGTTTAGGCTGAGGGAGTGACATGTGTCGACCTCCTATCTGTATCCTGGCACACAGTTGGCACTCACTATATAAGGGCCAAGTGACTAATCAAACAATGCTTGGCCCTAAGAGGCCATCCAATTTGGCCACAGTCTCTGTGGTGCAATTGGCACGTTTGGCTATTAACCGAAAGGTTGGTGGTTTGAATCCACCCAGGGACACTGTTTTTAAGGAGCTCTGGTGTTGCAATGCCTTAGGTATTTGACTGCTAACCAGAAGGCTGGCAGTTCTAAGCCCACCAGCCACTCTGCAGAAGGAAGACTGGGCAATCTACTTCTGTAAAGATGTACCACCTTGGAAACCCAAAAGGGGTCGCTGTGAGTTGGAAGCCACTCAATGGCAATGAGTTTGGCTTTGTTTTATCTACTATTTGCATTACAGTGAGGCCTGTGGCAGCCAGAATTCAACAAGACTGCCTTGCTTTTCTGAATCTTGCAAGTTTTCTCCTTTGACAAGGTCTTCCTACTTAGCTATTGCTAGCTATAGTGGAAAGTATTTGAATTTTCCTTCTCTGACATGTTTCCGTCTTATAGAGGTTTTACTGATTAAAGTAAAGCCTGCTCATGCCAGAACATCTGAAAAAAGTTCCGTGATACTGCGTTTGGAAAATAAGTTACCTACGACCCATTGCTTCCATCAAAACCGTCATCCACTCTTGAATACCCCTAGAACCAGGGAGCTCAGCTCCTTACCAGGCTGTCAGGACCAACTGCAGGCTGAATGTGGAGGCCGCAGACGTTTCCTCTCTCGGCTGCTCCTGGCAGCAGCCCCAGTCCTGCCAGCTGGCTAGGGTTACTCCGGCCTCCTGGGAATGCCTGGCTCTGCAGGCGGCTTCCTCAATGCAAACCAGCTGGCGCCTTGGCCCACTGAGAGCTTCTCCTCCACCCAGCGCCAGGCTGCACAGCAGGGCACGTCTGACCCCAAAGGCCCTCCCACCTCCACTCTGGTGGTGGACTCCTTGGGGGTCCTCGTTTGGCCCATTTGGGTATAAACAGATTCAGGGGCCTTATGGGAGGGCAGCAGGCCCTTACCCCCACCCTGGGCCCCAGGTCACTGGGGAACTGGGAGCCAGCACGGGTGCCAGGTCCCTGGACCCTCCTGGCCTAGGCAGCAGCAGGGAGAACTGGGTGGGCTGGGTGGCCCCCCAGCCCAGCTACCTCCCTCTGTAGAAAGGGGCCAATAAGGGCTGTGTGAGTGGGTGTTTCATTAACTATAAACCACGGGACGTTGCTTAGTTAGTTCTTTTATTATAAGCATCATTTTTCCTGTGTTTATCATTGGGGTGGGGTGGTGCTTTCTTTAAAATGCTTTTCCTGAGCCAGAATTTCCGTGCTGGGGGGCTGTGGTCAGACACCACCCTGGCAAGATCTCCAGAAAGAAGGAAGGAGGGGGTAGGCGGGCAGAGCCTCTCCCAGGGTGCCCCCAGGCCTGCTTTGCCGAGGCCCAGTCTCAGCCCCTCTGAGAAGAGTCAAAACCAGGTAAGAGCAACACACCCCTTCGCTCAGGGGGCTGGCCTCTGCTTCCTTACTCCATTCCCAGGCCTTTCCCCATGCCCCCTTCATGGTCACCGACCCCCCGACCTGCCTGGTTCCCTGGCTGGCAGAAAGATGCTTTGGGGTCTACTATTCTTTCCCGACACTCATTAGACTGGGGTGCTCACACCTGGGGACACTGATTCTGGCTGGAGGCCCCCGCATCTGAAGTCTTTACCCTGAGAGTGCAGTGACCTGGGGGGAGGGTGTCCCACTAGCCTCACACTGGCTGTGGGGGCACTACCCCAGGCCTCTAGCCACACCTGCCGGGGCTGGAGTTCTCTGTGCCCTTCCCCACAGCCGGCCCCAGGCCAGGGCTGCAGCAGCTCACGCCTGCCTCCCTCCCTCACAAGTACATCTTCATGGCTCCGTGGGTGGTGGGGCAGTAGAGGGCGTGCAGCTGAGCCAGGAGTGCCCGGGACGTGGCCTGGAAGTGGGTACCCTGGCTCTTCTTGTTCCACACGTGGACGGCATAGGTGGCGTTAAGCAGCCGGGGCAGCTCCTCGGGGTTGACATCCTCAAAGTACCTCTTCCAGTTCTGCCAGGCGATGGGGTAGAAGGCCTCGCGGGGCAGGGTGGTGACCCCGCGGCAGGCGTGGCGCTCCCCCAGGCTGCGGATGGAGCACCACTTCTTGAAGACCCGCGTGAGCAGCTGCGGGCCCTGGTGGCCCCAGACCCAGCCGTTGTAGTGGGCCACGAAGTCCTGCATGCACAGCGCCATGAACTCATGCTGCCGCTCGAAGGCCAGGAAGGCGCCGTTGAGGACGTAGCGGGACTGGGTGCCCAGCGCGTTGGTCAGGTTCCGCAGGCTCTTGAGGACGATGAAGTCCGTGTCCAGGTAGATGCCACCAAACTTCCACATGAGCGCGATCCGGGCGGCGTCGGAGAGCACGGGGAGCAGGTAGGGCTCCCACCGCCGGCGCACGGCTGCGTACCAGGCGGCCAGGGGCGTGCCTTGGAACAGTGCCTCCAGGTCGAGCGGGAGCATCTGCACGTTGGAGAAGCAGCTCAGAAGCGCGATGCCCAGGTGCCGAGGCAGGGACGCGTTGCCCCCCACCAGCCCCTTCATCAGGACCACCACCCGGGACTCGGGGTGGGCCCTGGCCGCCGACTCCACCGAGCACATGAACAGGAAGTTGGGGTTGGTCCGGTCTGACGTCTCCAGGAAGAAGATATTGCCAGGAGAGGGGCTACTGGAAGGCGGCGTGGGGGGTGCCAAGGAGGGGCAGGGGATGTCGGCCGGCAGGCTGTAGGGCTGTCCTTGGCCCTTGGGCTCACCCACAATGTGCCAGTAGATCACGACGGAGACAAAGAATGTGAACTTGAAGCCGATGATGAACAGGGTGCAGACGCGCTGCCTCGGGGCACCTCGGAGCAGCCGCAGAGGGCAGTCGGGGGGGCTGGACATGGTCTCTCCAGATCACAGCAGGGGTCTCCAGTGACACTGGTGGTCTGCAAGAAAAAGGTACCATAGGGGCTGAACGATGGAATTCCCGGCCCACCAGAAAGTAAGCTTTCCAAGGGCGGATGTGGCTACGCAGCCCACCAGGCTCTGGGGCCAGGCAGGCCTGGGCTTGAACCCTGGGGGACTGCAGGCAAATCTCCTCCCAGAGCCCCATCTCCTTGATCACCCACTTGATGAGGACAGTGACCTGTGGACTAAGGTGATGTGCAGGTCCCCTTCCTTCTCACAAAAACCCCCATGAGCTCCCCCAAAACTGGCAGGTGCCACCCACAGTGGATGGTATCATGGACCCAGGCCAGGGCCTGGCATGTGCTGGGGCTTCAGAAGTGATGCCTCTGCCAAGGGCCACAGGCCCCTTGCTTGGCCTGGCAGGTCCGGTGGACCCACCCCTGAGGCCCAGCCCTCGAATTCCTTACTCCACTTAGTTCCACAAACCAGCCTGGAGTCCATCCAAGAGCAGAGAGCCTGGCAGCCTCAGGGACGACTCTAACCATCAAACCCGGGGCTCAAGCAGGCCTGGTACTGGCCGAGGAGGTAGGAAGGCAAACCCACTCACTGTCAGAACGGGCTGGGGCCCAGGGATGCCAGATGCCTGCTGGGCCCCAAAGCTCTTTGCCCCCACCATGATGGGGTCTCTGGCCCCTGCTTCCTGATCCTGCTCTGGGCTGGGGTGGACAGGGCCAGGCAGCATGCACCTGTGACTCCTAGTGCTGCCCTTGGACTCTCCCTCTCTTTTGGTGATGTCTACTGAGCTCTGGTAGCGTAGTGCCTAAGGCACTTGACTGCTCACCAGAAGGCTGGCGGTTCAAACCCACCAGCCACTCCTCGGAAGGAAGGTTGGGCAATCTACTTCCGTAGTGATACTGCCTCAGAAACGCAAGGAGGGGTCGCTATGAGTCGGGGCCGACTCGACGGCAAACAACAACAACAACAACAACTGAGCCAGCAGCCAGCAGGTTTCTGGTTGCCCTGCAGATGGCGTGGGGAAACAAGACAGGCTTGGTCCCTGTCCCTGAAAACAGGGCTAGCAAATGCCTGGAAGGCTTGGGACCCCAGCTCTGCTTGGCCGGTGCGAGACCCTGGATAAGCCACTTAGCTCTCTGAGCATCATTCTTTCAACTTCAGGAAAGGAACAATGGAAATCACCCAAGGGTTGTACTCATTCATTCATTCATTCAATAAATACTGACTGTCTGCCAGGCAGGTGCTAGGTGACCTCAGCATTTCACACATACGAAGTCATTAGATCCTTACAACCAGAGTTATGGACTGAACTGTGTCGCCCAAAATATATGTTGAAAACCTAACCCCTCACGCCTGGGAATGTGCCCTTGTTTGGAAACTGGGCCCTGGAAGATGTTCTTAGCACGAGCTCATACTGGAGTCGGATGGGTCCTGATCCAGGCTGAGTGACTCCTAAGGATAAGAGACTCAGGGACAGACCCCGAGGGACTGGGGCTGTGTGAAGCCACAGCTGTAAGCTGAGGAGTGCTTGGGGCTGTCGGAAGCTGAGTGACAAGAAAAGACCTTTCCTTAAAGGCTCTGCAGAGCGGGACCCTGCGGAACCCCGCCTTCTGTCTCCCGGCCTCCTCCGGAGTTGTGAGACAATACTTCCCTGCTGTGGTAGGCCCCCCATTTGTGGTGTTGTGTCAGGCCAGCCTTGGGACACACACACAACCATCCTATGGGGTGGAAGTCAGTGTCCCCATCTCACGGATGAGGACCCCGAGGCACAGAGAGGCCCGGAGTGAGCCCTGAGTCCACAGCTGGTAAGTGGTGGTACACGGTTTGAACCCAGGCCAGGGGGCTGCAGGGTGTATGCTTGCAACCTCTGTACCCCCTACCTGGGAGAGATGTGCCAACGGGTCCGTCACAACCTGGAAGAACCAACATACACGGACCTGTTCTTACCATGGCGGCAGCCCCAGCCACCACGCCCTCAGCCCCATCTAGGGACCTGGTACCTGACTCTCACTCTCCGACCCTCAGGAACCCCGGGGGCAGGTGCCATCCTTTCTACTTTAGAAGCACGAAGGGGCTGGGGGCTGGATGTAGCCTCAGGCTGATGGGACGGATGGGAGGCTGATGAGGCCTCCATGGAGCCTCATCACCAGGGAGAGGTGCCTGGAACTGGGAAACAACCAAGTGGTGGGCCTTCCCCAGGGTCTGAGGTTGGGCACTGCCCTGTCCTTGGCTAGTAACTGACCAGCCTGGGTGGTCCATGGTTCGAGGCAGGATCCCAGCGGGCTCCTGGAGACACGCCCGGCTCAACACCGACACAGCTTCTCCATGTGCACCTTATGTCTGCAAAGCCATCTGCAAAAGACGGAAGAGAGAGGGTGAGGCGAGCCGTCCGAGCCCAGAGCCTGGTCCTCGCCACCTCCCTGCCTCACGACTGGCCGAGCCCAGGGTTCACTGGTTCTCTGCCTCACCCCACAGGGCTCGGGCCTGCACTGGCGCTTGGGAGACAGGAAGAGTCAGACGGCCTTGCCCTTGAGGTGCTCCCAGCCTGTGGGATAACACTTGGAAACTGACAAAGGCAGAGTGATAGCTGACACTGAAATGGAACAAAGGGGACAGCGGAGCTGAGGCGGGGCTTCCTGGAGGAGGTGGTGCTTGAGCTGAGCTCAAGGTTTACAGAGGGAAGCCAGATGGAGGTGGTGGTGGTGGTAGCTAGGGACCGCATAGGTGCTGTGGCCTCTCCCCAGTGCCTGGCACATAGTAGGTGCTTAAGCAATACCTGTGACTGACTGGCCCCTAAGGACAGGGAGCACATTCAGGTGCACGGCAAGGGTGAGCAGTGGGTCAGAAGCAGGGTGTGGGGGGCTGGGGTGCTCAGGAAGGCTTGACTGCCTGGCTCTGTGGGTGGGCTTTGTGCGGTGGACAGAGGGTTTGGTGGGAGAGTGAAAGACCCTCTCCCTGTTCTATGGGAGTGGTAGATGTGTGTGGGTGGCCAGAGTGGGTGCCGGGAGACCGCAGGAGGGGTGGGAGATGGGAGGTGATGATGGGGTGAACACCGGCATTCGGGAGACCCCCGTTTCCCAGTGGCTGCAACAATGAGCTTAAACATAAGACCATGAGGATGGCGCGGCTCCCCGCGGTGTGTCCTTCTGCTGGACGTGGGGTTGCTATGAGTTGGAAATGACTCAGTGGAACCTGACAACAAGAAGTAGGTGAGGAGGTGCCCACAGGGGGCATTTCTAGGCTCGATACCCTGCTAGAGACAGCCATCTCCAGGTCTCAGTCTGGGCCCCTCTCTGAGTGGTTCTGGGTGGTGATCCAGGCCACCCCCCTCTGCTGGGGGGAGGTGTGCTCTTCTGACAATGGCTCCCAGCAGCCACCCTGCTCCTCTACCTCGCCTGAGGACTGACGAATAGTCCACATCGCATCTCTGCTCCTGGCCTGTCTCCTGTGACTCAGGCAGGGGTCACCCTTGGTGGCTGTCGGGCTGCGGGGTTGGTCCTGCTGACAGTCCCTCTGGGGACAAGCCCTGCTCTTTTCTCAGTAAAACCAGCCCCATCCAGTAGTAGCAGCACATTGCTGGGGACATCCAGGCTGGCCTCCTGTCCCCTCAGGGATCTCTAGGGATCTCTGCTGCCGCAACCAGGCTGGCCTTGGGCTGCCGCTTCTTGGGAAACTCTTGGACCCGAGCGTGGGTCTGACCTTCCCACCCTGCTTTCTTCCTGGCCCAGAACATTCCGGAGGAGATGCTCACAGTCCTGGGCTCATGGAAGGGACCGACGCTCAGAGGGGAATGGTGATGACCTGGGGGGGTGACTGCTCATCCCAGTGGGATCCTCAACAGGGCAGCACCCCCTTCCCAGCTCCTGGGGGCGGTGCACAGATAATGAGCGGTCAGGCAGACCAGGCCAGACCCCTCAGTGACTGCAAAGTTAATCCTCATTTGACCTACCGAGGTGGGTACTGGCTTGGTCCCAATGGAGAAACAGTGTTATGGATTGAACCATGTTCCCCAAATACATGTGCTGTAAATCCTAATCTCTATGCCCTTGGTTAATGAGCTCTGATGGCATAGCGGATAAAGCATTTGGCTGCTAACCAAGAGATCAATGGTTCAAGGTTTGTTGGTCCGATAGAGCCTGGTGGAACCACTGAGACTATGGCTCCTAGCTGCCCTTCAGGTCTGGAATTGAACCCACTCCTGTGGCTTCCAGCCAAACAAAAGACAGGCATATGAGGTAAACATTTACCTGAGGTAGATACATTGCTTGGAGAGAAGAATCATGGGAGAAAGAAGGGCTGTTTGTGCACAGGGAGACAGCTCAGGGGGCAGGAGTGCATGGAAGGATGGACACAGGGAAGAGGTAATTATTGGGAGGAAGTGGAGGGGAGCTGTTGCATTGTGGGAAATTGCAGTCAATGTCATGAGACAAAGTGCATGTGAACTGCTGTATAGAAAGTGAATTTGCTCTGTAAATTTTCACCCAAATCACAACTAAAAAAAAAAAAAAAAAAAAAAGATCAGTGGTCGGTGGTGTTCAAACCCACTGGCCGCTCCACGGAAGGCAGATGAGGCAATCTACTTCTGTAAAGATTTATAGGCTCGGAAACCCAGTGGGAGTCGCTATGAGTCAGAATCGATATGATGGCAGTGAGTGTGTGAGTGAGTGTGCGTGTGCGTGTGTGCGCCCTCGGTTATGATCACGTGTAGGAAAGGGTTGTCTTTGTTATGTTAATCAGGCAGGCTTAGTTAGGGTGTGTCTTGAGTCGATCTATTACAAAATCTAAAAGGAACAGATAAACAAGTAGAGATGGGGATGGGAGATGCCAGGCCACATGGAGATCTCCAAGGAGCCAAGGAGTAGAAGCTGAAGAGACAGACCTCCCTCCAGAGCCGACAGAGAGGAAGCCTACCCCGGGAGCAGAGGCTCTGAATTTGGACTTCTGGCCTCATAAACTGTGAGAAAATAAAGTGCTGTTTGTCAAACTCCCCCCTTGTGGTACTTCGGTGACAGCAACA